CTGCTGTAGCTTTAAACCTGAAGCGGGAAATGTTCCGCCGCGGAATGCTCAGCTCTTCCCTAGTTACTAAAGATGGATTACAGCGCGCAGCTAGTTGCTGTCCTGTGGGAAGGCTGTCACACACGTTAGCAGGGTCTGCCTCCCTATCTTGGCTCTGGAATGTTAGTTCTAAAGAGCATAAGTATTTCTTCTCTTGACCTAGTAACTCTGTCCCTCACTATGCTGCTACAACTCGCAAGGGATTTAAGGTGATGACAGATCCCTTTCCATGGAAAGCAGTTTGGGGTCCAACATGCTCATCTGAGTATATTCTGTATTTTGTCAAAGTCCCTTTGAATGTGGCCCATTTCTTCTAAAGGGCACGGGCTCTGTGTTGCAAAAAATGGAATTATCCTGATTAATAATTTAAATATCTCAAAATAAATAATGTATACCCAAGAAGCCGTAATAGCAGGCATCGTTCTGTTGTTCCTCTCTCACGGAAATGGCAGACTGCTTTAGTATGAATGAACCTGACATGATTCTGGAAACTGGGCCAGCATATCATTGATTATGCACTTTGAAGGAAGGTGGGAAAAAGTAGAGATCTGCCGTTCTGAGATCTATCCTCAGTGTGCTGTGGCTACCAAAGCCTTCATTTAGAGAAAATGAACTTTCTAGGACAGAGGAAAATTTGAGAGTGAGTCCAACTTTAGCAACAGTTATAGATGGTTGAGTTATTTTATAAAGGTTTTTTTTTTTTTCCCTAAGAATAACAGCTAGATAACTTTGTCTTATTTCCTATCTGCCTGTGTTGCTTGAAAATATTGTATAAAGATTACTGTGTGCTACTGTACGTGCTATTGCTATCTAAATGGATTATATATGGCCTCCAGGTAAACTGGAACTTGAAACTGGACTTCTCCTTAGCCTTTAGTGTATGGATTATAGCTTGATCCTATGGAAATATGTCCATAATTTAATTAGCATCAATATGGTCTGACATAAAAAGGGCAGTTATCTCATCTGGGCCTTGCATGTCTGAAAAGTGACATGAATTGAAGGAGAGATGTGCATGACTCCTCCAAGGAGAGAGGCTCTATGGATTTCAGTTGGATTGCAATGACTGTATAGTCTTATGGCTTCAATTTTCTACTATAGGTAAGCTGATCTATGGACAGATTTGCTGCTGAAGAGAACATTTCTCCTCTCAAATTGACACAGATGCTCATCTGATCATTTCATGCTGCAGCACTTATTTTTCTGCTGTTGGGAGCTCCTTCAACTCTTTTGCTGCAATATCTGATGAGTGTCGGTGCTGGTGCCAGTAAAAGGTTAGGAAGGAAGGGATGGGAGGGGAGGAAAGGCAAGGTGGGAAGCAGGGGCTCCTCTTTCAGCAGCAGCTCTCCATAGATCAGCTTAGCAGTAACTCTTAAATCACAGTAGCCCTGAAATTCATGGCCCACAAAGGAGACTAACAATCATTGTAGTTTTCCCTGTACTCCTGCCCTAAATCTAAAAATGGACCAACTTTGAGAGCCAGTGTAATGAGACAGCCTAACTCAGACAAAATTTAAAAGCCTTCAAGAAGTGAATGTTTTCTCTTAAGTTTTCAAGCCATTGACACATTCTTTATACAACTTCATTTACCTCAGTTTGTGATGGCTATGTATAACAATTTCAGATAAAGTTTTGGAAAGGAAAAAGTAGAAATTACTGAAAAGCAGGGGTATTCTTACTATTAATATCACAATTTAAAGCTCATGTTACTGAAATACTTCTAAGAATTTGTCAGCTTCATTATTTATTTATTTATTTATTACTCTCTTTTCTTCCAGTTTTCCATGTAATCACAAACAGTATTACGTAGACCACTGAGATACACTCAGAAGGCAAAGGACTAGACAAAACACGCCATTTTTATTTGATTGAATTTACCACTTCTTGGTCATTAAAATTAATTAAATCAGTGACAGGTCTGCTGACATCAGGAGATTTATGTACCCTTACAGACTCGTGTCACAACTCATGTCGTTTGAGCTGGAGAGACAGGAGCAGATTTTAACATCTGTGGTGGACCTTACTGTGTTCAGGGCAGACCTTTGACCTTTCTTATAATTTAGGAGAAACAGTATGTATTACTTAAGTAAACTATTCAATTTATGCCACTTATTTTTATGAAGGGCATTTTAATCAATCCTTATGCACCAAAAGAAGGTATTAAATCATAGAACTGCAATGTTCAAAAGACCATGCTGGTCATACTTGATGAGCTGTTCCTAAAAACTTCCAATATTGGACATTTCATAGGATAAATAGTTTAACTTCTTATCCTTTTAGGTATATATTCTCCCCCGGCCCCAATGTCTAAGAGCAGTCTGTGTTGCTACTTGAGATGTTTTCAATCTCCCCTAAACTGATGCAGAAGACAAGAATCAATCATCCTTTTTTGTAACGAATGTTTTATTATTGAAAGATGTATGCCCAAAGTCTCCTCTTTCTGAGGTTAAAGGAATTGAAGTATTTCAAGTTGTGGCTGAAGGTTATATTTTGGTATAGCTATATTTTTGAGATGTCTTTTATCTTGCTCTCCTTCAGACTCTTTAGTTTCTCTTTTTATAACATAGAGTACGTAGCTGTTGAGTGCTCATCAGTATTTATCTGGGAAGAAAATTACCTTAGCTTTCCTGCAGGACATTATTTTCTCTTCAGATCTGCTGGTAAAGTTGTTTAATTCAGTAGCCTTTTGGTTAAAATTGGTTTGGTTGGCTGGTTAAAAAATGAGATCTTTGCTATTCCCCCCTGATTTTTAACAAAGCAGATCAGAGTAGCAGGCCAGGAAAGGTAGCTACCACTGGAATGGAGAATGAGAGCCAAGTGGCTTGTTTGCGGAGTACATGTATGACTACACTCAAATTTGATTAGGAAAAAGCAATATGGAACCACCAAAAGTCTTAATAAAACTGAGATTTGTTATATCTAATCTTTATTCTTTCTCCATTAAGACACTAGTTAGTTGAAAAATGAGGAAACCAGGCTCCTAACATTATTTGGTTTTGGAACCTTTCTAATTCCTTCATGTCTGTTATGTAGGTTGCCAAATTACCTGTTTTCAAATCTTTGTAGGAGTAACCATCCCGTGGTCTGTCATTTTCCTGATTTGTCATCCACCCCTCCATTTCAAGTTCACTACTTAGTGAATACTTAGTAAAAAAGCAAGTAGAATTAAAAATGTAAATTCACATACACTGCTAAAACAATGCCCAGTAAATGTAGTTTTTCTTCTTTTAGATGTACCCGTGCACAGTTTTAGGGATGAATTGCACCTGCCAACAAGCTCTGAGCAAGGTAAATCCTCAAGTGAGTGGGGTGGCTCAGGAGGCTCAGACCTACTGAGAGACAGGGCATTCGGGGGGCTGTGGTCAGGAGTGATGGCTCACGTTCACTCCTTCCCGTGAAGAAACCCTCACAGGCTAGTTATTAAAGACTACTGAGACTGCAGTTCTGTAAGGGGCTAGTTATCACGTAGAGAGGCTGCTGAAATGCGTATTTGTTTTGTCTCAGATTGAGGAAATGCACACTTGGTCATGTAAACTTGGAGTTTAACTAGCCACTAGATGTCAATGTTGTTGTACTAAAAGGCAAATGCAATCGCATTTGTTTGGCTGATAAAGTAATTTACTCAATAAAAGCACTCTGGATTTGTAGTTCTTTTTCTGTGTGGGGTGTAATATAATAGACAAATTTCTACAGTGTCCATTATTTCAAGAATAACCATGCTGTTTTATGCTATTACGGAGTCGCACTTACGATTTCAGTATGTAAATATTGTTGGAAAAGTCCTTTGAAAAAATGGCATCTGATTGTAAGTTTTGTTCCTTATTCCAGAATCCCACATCCTTGCATAAGTGGCCACAATAATTTGTATTGTCTTTAATTTGTAGTAGGATAAAGTAGTGATAATAACACATAATAATCCTAATACAGGAGTATTGAATTTCCTAATTTCCTAGATCCCTATTTTCCTTTCAATTATTTCTTGGTAACACCATTGGAGATCAATGTGAAATACACCAAGAAGGGACATATTTTTAGAACGTTAATCCTTCCAAGAGAATACATGATTAGGCAGACTTGGTTCTTGTGAAAATCTGGCCCTAATTTTGTGTAACTAAAGGCAGAGCTGCAAGATGATGGTATTTTGGAAGACTATGTGATGTAGAATTGGGTCTGCATCCTCCTATACATTTAAGGTGAAAAATCATGTTAAATCTTTACAATTATTTATGGGCTAATGAACTTTCAGGCTTTGTTTGAAGGCAAAGGTGCCATTGACCAGCAACAGAACACGTAACTTTGGTCTTACAGACCACATTTTGGGGAGTGTCTTTGTGAACAGTGATGTGAAG